CAAGTGACATGCAGCAGCGGTGAGAGGGCTCGGAAAGGGGCTGCACTGAGGCCAAGGGTCTCATTACCAGGACTCTACAGGGGCCCTGTGAGAAAGAAAAAGGAGTGCTTCCACCCCTTAAAGTAGAACACGAAGGGCTTCCTGTTGCTTAATCAATCGAAATGACCCAGAATACAAGCTTGGATTAACATACGCCTCTAGATTAGGGCTAATCAGGGGCAGGCTGAGCAGATGCGGGGACAGTCCCAGCCTGATTACTGTACCTCAGCATTTAATCATCTCTCTTCCAAGGGCAGCTGCCCGACTTAGTGCACGCTGGGCTTCCAGGCCTCCAGCCCCTCCCCCTTTCCCTTGCCAGGGACATGAAGGCTGCTAGGTCAGAGACACTGAGGCGATTTAATCTAATCCCATGTCAAAATGGCTGTGTGAGAGAGAGAGAGGTCTTAAAATCCCTACAGTGGGATGGTCATGCATTTATTTAAGGTGGCAGTAGACAGAAACTGTGTAGAAAATAGCGGAATTGGGGTTCCAAGGCATGCAAGTTTATGAAATGACTCCCATTATGGCCTCCCTCTCCTGGGCTTCTAAGGTGTGTGGCTGTCCTCACCAGTTACTCATCCCTGGGAGCTCTGGGTGGGGACCATGTCCTCACCCAGGTGTGGCCAAATGTGCTTCTTCCCTGTCTGGGGTGGAGTACAGAAGATGGAATCTTTCAAAACCAGCTTTATTTGGATGAGTCTTGAATGTAGTATTTTTTAAGTTGCTTTTTTTCTTGGCTGGAAGCTCTTGTTCCAAAACAGCCTCATCACCCTAAGGCTCACCCACCTTAATCACGCAGTCCCTAAAAGGGACACATGTTAAATCTTAGAAGGCAGGTTTCATTCATGGTAGTAGAAAACATTCCAGCACCTGCTGACTGCTGGCCACTCAAAGATGGAGACTTAATCCCTCCCTTAAGGAATCTACAATCTCCTTGGGGACAAGACATGCAAGCAGTGAGGATGAATGAGGAGGCCACTGCCTCCAAGGAGCCTGTACAGAATGCCGAGGAGGAGCATGGGAGAAGAGGACCCAAGATGGGGAGGAGAGAGGCTGGGGCTAGCTCTCGGAGGAAGGGGAGGAGCCCCCTCCAGGCACAAGCCATGGAGGTGTGTGCTTGGAGAACCTCAGTCAAGTAGTTCATCTGGCTGGCGTGTGAAGTGAGTGGGGATTAGTGGATCACCAGGCTTAACCGAACAACAGTGGCCGACGTGAAGAGTTTAAATACCTGCAAAGGGGTTTGGACTTGATACCCTGTGAGCCACTAGAAACCACTGAAGAATTGTGAAGAACAGCAAGATCAGGTCAGATATTCAGAAGATCATTCTGATGATGGCAGTATCACCCAATAGATAAGATTTTTGCATTAGAACCTTGCTTCACTTTATTCTGGGGAAAATCTTCCGTGATACTATAAAAACTATTTTACCAACTGGGCATGGGCCCACATCACAGGAAACCCAAACACATCACAGCCAGGGTGAAAGAAATTCAACTTTGACAATTCTTTTAGTTTGTGTTCACACCAGCCCTAACCCAGATGGTTGCTCAGTTAGAAAAGATCTCCCTGCACACTGTAGTCACTGTGTTTGCACAGCAGACTTGTTCCCCAAGCCTGGAGCTTTTGGAACTGAATGGAGCCCAGAGGCAAGAACAGTGAAATGAAGCTGACCTTTGCTTCTGGTTTTGCTTGCTACTTGCCAGCACGTGGGTTCCCTGGAGGAGTACACAGGTGTCTTGGCTTTGCCACTGGGCATTTTGGGTGATTTCATTAACTTTGCCTGTTTGACCAGAGGAGAGCATGATCATGATACACTGGGAGGAGGCAGGGGACTGACGGGGTTGTACGGTCTTCACATACATATACTCAGGCCCATGCCTTGAATCTAGATGCTGGGGAGAGGACCCAGCTGCACACTGGTTGAGGCCGGCAGTACATGGCCCTTGAGGCTATGCTGATAGCAACTTGTGGCACACTTTGTACTTCATACTATGAGGAACATGAAATAAGACAGAGCCAGGCCTGATCTTGAAAGAATCCTCTGTCAAGTGGGAAGGCCTGTTGCAGACATGCACCAACTGGCCCAGCCGGCTTATCCATGGCTGTCCCTGGGCCTCCTGAGAATCCAGAGGAGGCTGCTCCAGCATTGATGAGGCTGGGATGGGGCAGGTTCCACAAGGAGGGAAAGCTGACCCCAGTGTAAAGGGAAGGAGTGTGGGATAAGTCTATCTCATGAATAACCTGAGCACAGGCCCAAAAGAGTGTGGCTGATAGATTGGGGGAACTGAGAGTAGTCTGGGGGTGGGGGGCACCTAGAGCACAGGGCACCTGTGAGACAGTGAGGGAGATGAGACTGGAAAGATGGACCAGGGCAAATCATGAGAGGCCTTGAAGACCATGCTAAATCATTTGAGCTTTATTATAAGCTTTGGAAACCTTTTTAAAACCATGGAATTTAAATGTTTGAGATAAGGAGAGTAACACATTATGGAAAGATAATTTGGCTGGGTGTGGCGGCTCATGCCTGCAATCCTAGCACTTTGAGCTGAGGCAGGAGGATCACTTGAGCTCAGGAGTTCGAGACCAACTTGGGCAACATAGTGAGACCTCATCACTATTTAAAAAATAAAAAAATAATAATAAAGATAATTTGAGTGACTGGGAAGGGGTGAACTGAAAGAGGGACTGATTAAAGACAGTTAAGAGCCATTTGCAAAGGTTTAGTTGAAAGAAATTGAAGCCCACAGTTTTGTAGGCCAAGGCCTGGCCCTTCAGCCTGCTTTCCCCCATGCCCATGCGTACATGGAGGCTGGCCTCTCTCCTCCTCCTTTCAGGTCTGCATTGCAAGTGTGGGGGCGACTGGCCACGTCTTCCATTTGTGTGAGGGCACACCAGAGGAGCCAGGGTTTCTAGTGATCTGTCACCCGAACAGCAAGTCTCACTTCATGAAGTCTCATTGCATCATCGAATGCTTATCCCTTTTCCCTAAACTGGCAGAACTTGCTTCTAGAAAACAGTTACATTACAATTTAACATTGGAAAATAAAATCTTGTATTTGATTTTTTGCATTAGAAAATATTTTGACAACCCTTTTTTAAATTAATTTTTATCTTCATCAAAGTACCCTATGATTTAAATGTCAAAAAGAACTAAAAGGGGTCTCTCTCTGGGTCAGTTTTTCAATAGAGTAGGTGAACCTCAGAGGCCCAGTCAGCAAAGGTCTTTAGGTCTAGATGTTGGGGTTGGTCTAATCAATTAAATTCAGACTTCCCACTCATTCTCATTTTTGGCCTCCTCCCTTTCTGCAGTAGCTAGGCCTCTACGTCCTGAGCCCTGTGTGAGCATAGGAGTTGCCCCTTCCACTTCTCTGATAAATCAGAACCATTTCACATTTGCTTTGCATCTTCCAAAAAAATGTTGACATCCCTCATTTATATCCTTTTTTCCTCGTTCACTGTAATTGTGGTTTCAGAAGGAAGAGAGATTGATGTATACATTAGTTACTGCCTTACTTACTGGGAATCCTTTTTTTAAAATATATTAAGTTATCAGCTTTCCCTTTTTAGGCTGGACTACCTTTATGGAGGTTATGTGCTTCTTCCTTTAAGCCATCCTTTCTACTCTGAAATAATAGTGATATTAGGGAGTAGATGGGGTCTTTTTTTTTTTTTTTTAAGTTGACACCAAAATGTGTTTTTGCATTTTACTGGTGTGTGAAATCTGAAACTCAGGAAACAAGTGACCTAGGCTTTAAAAATAAATAAATAAATAAATAAAATAAGCTTGACTATGAAGGAAGGCACATAGATGGAGCAGTGGCCAGAAGACAGGATAGGAGAGGGACAAGTTTTTTCTTTTCAGGCTGAGAGAGACTTGAGCATAGGCAGAAAGAGGGTTGAAAAAGTCTGTGTAGCCAAATATCAAAGAAAAGTAATGGTGGCCTGTTCTGAGAGGGAGATGACAGGCCGGGGACATTTCACACCTGACAGGCCTGTGCTTCCTAGATGCAAAGGCAGGCAGGGCCCTCTCACGGCAAGCTGGGGAGGCCCTACCCTAAGGCATGTTTCCACAATTCCTCCAAACTTTTCTTTCCTGATAGTCTGTTTTTAAAAAATTAAAATGGCCAGTCTTGGTGGTTTGCGCCTATAATCCCAGCTATTCAGGAGGCCAAGATGGGAGGATCGCTTGAGGCCACGAGTTCAAGACCAGCCTGGGCAACATAGCAAGACTCCATCTCAAAAAAAAAAATATTAGCCAGGCATGGTGGCACATGCCTGTGGTTCCAGCTACTCAGGAGACCGAGGTGAGAGGATCACTTGAATCCAGGAGTTCGAGGCTGCAGTGACCTGTGGTCACGCCACTGTCCTCCAGCCTAGGCTACAGAGCCAGACCCTGTCTCTTTAAAAAATAAAAATAAAAAATAAAAGTTAAAATGGAAAAAAGTTGATTTCATAGAAGTAGAGAGTAGAATAATAGTTACCAGAGTCGGGAATGGTTGGGGACGGGGGCAGGAGAGGTTGGCCAGCAGGTGCAAAGGAAGAATAAAACTTCTGGTGTTCAGTTACACAGTAGGGTGACTGTAGTGAGTAACAATGAGGTCTATATTTCAAGACAGCTAGATTTTGAATGTTGTCACCACAATGAAAGATAAATCTTTAAAGAGATTAATATGATAACTATCTCGATTTGATTATTCTACAATGTATACATGTATTGAAACATCACATTGTACCCCATAAACATGAACAGTTATTATATATCAATTATAAATCTTAAAAATTAATGAAAAAAAATTTAATGGGTGGGAAAGGGATGTCTTTGTGCCTGGGCCATGGGTATGTGATCATCTGGGGTTGGTGACCACAATACCTCAAAGGCAAGAGCTGGGTGCCCCCGTTGAGCCAGCATCGGGGAACTTGAGCCTGAGCCCCACTAACGGTCTTCTCTTTGTCTCTCCAGGCCTGGTCCAGATCCCTGTGAGCATGTACCAGACTGTGGTGACCAGCCTCGCCCAGGGCAACGGACCAGTGCAGGTGGCCATGGCCCCTGTGACCACCAGGATATCAGACAGCGCAGTCACCATGGACGGCCAAGCTGTGGAGGTGGTGACATTGGAACAGTGACATACAGCCATATTATGGCATTGTTTTCTAGTCTACTTCAAAATTTTTTACACGTTTGCAGAGGTGCAATCAAATGGAATTAAGTCTCTCGACTTTGGAAGAAAAGTTTTGTTAACCTTTTTTTTTTTAAAAGGAAGAAAGGCAGCGGATTTTGGAATTGCATTTTTTAAAGCACCACTCTTGATTTTCTGGGATTGGTGGAGTAAGAAACTGCGTTGTCAATTTCACTGTCCCAAAAAAGCCAAATTGTGGCAGGACTTCTTTCTGCGGAAATGTGTGTGTATACTTATGTGTGTGTATGTGTGAGTGTGAATATATGTATATGTGTACATATGGACATACACATTTACATATATATAAAGTATATATATACATATATATATATGTATGAAACCCGCATGGAATTATCTGTATGAAATCAAGGTGAGCTGTGGAAACAATAATTCACCCAGTTTAGTGGGTGGTAGGGTACGTGGCCAGACACAGTCACCCAGTTTTTGTTCATACCAGGGTCATGCGTTGAGCTACTGACAAACTCAGGCGGAGGTGACCATGCCCTTCACCAAAGCTGCCTCCCAGTGGCCACACAGAACTCTCCGTGCTGGACTCACCTGAGGAAAGAGGCTCCAGCGTGGGGTGGGTCAGAGATGTGTTTGCAAGGTCCAGGGGCTGCGTGGTCTGCCAGCTGAGACGCTCCTCGGGCTGGCCCAGGTGCTGACCTTGCCACAGGCAGATGAATGTCTCGAAAGCTCCCGGGCCTCAGCCTCCCATCTCCTCTCCTTCCCAGGAATCCTTGATCTCATGACTATTAAAATGTTGCTCTGGTTTTAAGGTCAGTCCTGAATTGCTCGTATATATGAACTGAAGGTAACAGAAGTATTAGGGGTTTGAGGAGTGCGTGCGTGTAAGTGTGCTTGTATGTGTGCGTGCATGGTAGGGGAGGGGATGGGAAGGGGGTTGGAGGGGTTGGAAGGGAAAGGAAGGAAAGGAAAATCTTCCTAGACCAGGATACACCTGTGGGAGCAATTTTCTCTAGCTGTCTGTAGCTTCACAGAGGAGGCGCTGGAACGAACAGGAAGGGACACCTGGTCTGTGGCCACAGCACCCTGAACGTCCACGATCTTGTGTGATCTTGGAAGCTAAGCTTGGTTGGGCCTGGTCAGTACACGGAAGGGAAGAAGGGACACCTGGCCATAGAAAACGGCTGAGGGTGTTTGCTGTGTTCCTGGATCAGGCCCTGCTTCAGAAGGGACTCCTGGAGGCCCATATTCCTGGATGCAGCCTGGAGGCCCAGGCTGGGAGCAGCTTGCCTCTTCAGAGGTGTTGACTGACTGGGTGTTCTTGATAACCGTTAACTCTGTCTTTCCCAGCTGCAAGCCCTGAGTCTCCCATGGCTGAATTCACCTGACTTTTCGACAGGTCAAATCTCTGCTCCTTGAGTACAGGAACAGCTCCTCCTCCCTCCTCCCAGCTCTCCCCACGTGTGTGATAGTGTATTTAATGTGTTTTTTTAATGCGACATTAAAAGATTCTCCACGTCTTGCTCAACCTTTGAGAGAAGTTTCAGATTCTTGTATTTGCTTGTTTTATATAAAACTATCTAATGTTCTTTATATGTTCTTTTCTGTGCGTAATGGGGGGAGGGGAGGGAAATTTACATATAAATAGTCCTAGTTCTACAATGTGTTATTTTTTTAATTATTATTTTTTATCGTCATTGTGAAGTTGTCCAGGGACTTTAAAGTCCATGTTCCTTTGTGGTGAAATAACCTCCAAATAGTTTGAGAAGTTGCCAAGACGAAGAAAAAAGCGAAACCCCAGTAGCAGAGCATGGATTCTATGTTGTTTCCCATTCTGTCTTTGACTGCCTCATTCAATAAATAGTTCAAAATGTGGCAACGGGAAGTGGAATTGTTCATCTCTATAGGAGCACTTGGCTTCTTAGGCAGAAGGAACTCCATCTTGGGGCAGCTTGTTCTACTTTCTAAAATGTAGTCCTACTTGAGATCAGTGGTCTCCGACCTGTGCCGCTGCGACGCTGGGGACCTCTGTAAAGAAGACACTGAAGATTGCCCAGAGCCCGCTGCGAGCCTCGAGCCTCATCACCAGACCAGCTGTGTTTCATACATTTCATATATAACTTGTTTTCTTACACTGATGTTCTGGGAGAAAAATCTAATTTAAAAAATCCTAGGCCAGGCGTGGTGGCTCACACCTGTAATCCCAGCACTTCGTGAGGCCAAGGTGAGTGGATCACTTAAGGTCAGGAGTTCCAGACCAGCCTGGCCAACATAGTGAAACCTTGTCTCTACTAAAAATACAAAAATTAGCTGGGCATGGTGGCGGGCGCCTATAATCCCGGCTACTCAGGAGGCTGAGGCAGGAGAATCGCTTGAACCCAGGAGGCAGAGGTTGCAGTGAGCCGAGATTGCACCACTGCACTCCAGCCTGGGCAACAGAGCAAGATTCCATCTCAAAAAAAAAAAAAAAAAAAAAAATGAGGGTAAGTGATGGTGCCTCTCCATCTTGGGAATTACTATTAAAGGGAATTGTCTTTCTCCAAGCAGAAGCCTCAAGCCATGAATTGTTCCCCTACATCCTCACTCCCTGGCTTCTCACACGGCTCACTCTCTTAACGTGGCATCTGTCATCTCTCCAGCTGCTCCTCCTGCCCCATCCTTAGGACCTTCCTAGACCCCAGTGGCCTGCACCTCCACCCTTGTGCATACCCTAGCCTCAGCCTGGAATGACCTGCTGCCACCCCCACCACTCCTTCCTTTATATTGTTGGGTGTCTTGGCCGCTTTCCTGGTGATCATGATTAGAATACCTGGATGGGAAGGCCAAGAAGCCTTTTCCTTGATGTCTGATAATGGTTCGGTGAAGCCAACTGCCTACCTTTCCCCCTTCTTCTTGCACACATGGCATACCCTCGCCTATTTTTCACCAGAGAGAATGGACTAGAAAAAGGATTGAATGCAGCCTAATCAACCACACATCCGTGCTATTGACTACCATGAACTAGCTGGGTTGTCTAGAATACCTGCTGACCAAGGGCCTCTCCAGAGGCGCCTTCTAGCTGCTGTTTGCCTGGCAAGCCTCAGATGCTGCCTTTGCCACAGGCATGTATTGACAACTGGTTTTGGTGGGGCCGATGGAGACCTTCCCTTCCATTCCTGCCTAAGTCACCAACAGGAGCTGCTGACTCCACTGTCTACAGGGACCAGGGAGGTCAAATCAATAAGGGAAGCCGAGGCAATTCCCGTGTGAGAGGAGGGAGTGATGGGGACAGGCAGAGTGGACAGCATCTATCTAAATGGGGCAGTCTGTCCTAGGTGCTGAAGATGGACCCTAATGCCCCATCTTCAAAATTGTCCAGAGAATCTGGGGAATCCAGATTTTTGTATGAAATGTGATTGCAACAAATAATTTACATACTCTGCAGGCAAAATAAAACACATCTGTAGACCAGACCTGACCTGAGGGTCAGCTGCATGTAACTCCGTGAATGCCTGTCATGTGCCAGGTGAATGAAGCATGGTGGTGGCCTGTGAGACACAAGGAGAGAGGAGGAGACCTCTACCTAAACCAAGCTCTGCAGTCCAAGGTGATGAGGCACCATCTGGACACAGCACTAGTGCAGAATGAGCTCTGTTACCACGTTTGGGCCCCTCAAAGGTCCTCTGTTAAGTAGTTGATCATCTAGGCTCCACACAAGGATCTGGTGCTCACAGAAACCAGGAGACTGGTCTAAGATTACTGGCTTTAAGTCTTGCATCTGAGAAGGCCCACTGGTGATACAGGTGACTACTGGCATTATGCGAACTTGAACAAATTAGCTGAGGAGAATCGGAAGGGCAGAGCAGAGGAGGGGTTCCTTGCCCTGGGCCTCACTCAGGCCCAAGCAAGGCTCTCTCCCACTCTCAGTAATGCCTCCGAAGCTTGAGCTCTGGGCATGGCAGAGTCGTACTAGGTTCATGGTATTTCCTTTTGGTGTCAGCACCAAAACTCATCAGGGAGGAAACTGGAGCTTAATTATTTGGAGCAGAAGCAACGTGGGGTGAGGGAGTAGAGCCCGTGTTTTCCCTCTCTCTCCACCTCAGCGGGCTGGCGGCACCTAGGTCATCACAACTGGGGCTTCAGATGCCCCATCCCTGCACTCCCACCCGGTCTCTGCTGTTTACTCCCGGAGGCAGCTCTTGGAGATCACTCCGGATGCTGGCGGCAGCATGGAGGAAGAGGTACAATAGAGAGGGGAGGCGGGGCTCCGGGACTAGGCCCTGACTGAAATTGCTTTCAGCGTGGGTTTCCTCTTAGTCCCCAAGCCCCTCTGAATTTGAATTTCTCCCTCCTGAAAACCACTGGGCTGCTACCAAACATTTGTTGAGTATTGGTGGCCTGGAGTGTATAGCGGGGAAAGGAGGAAGAAGGGATAACAGTCATCTGCAGAGGGGAGCCAAGGTCCCCTGAGAACCTAGAGCCTCCTTGGGAGGCAGGAATAGGCCTGGGCCCTGAGCCCTGTCCAGGGCTCAAGCTTTGCTAGCTTGCTTCTGAGAACTATGGTCTGTCTACACAGTGTATGGTAGCAGTGACAACAGTGAACACTTAGCCCTTACAATATGCCTTGTACTGTATTAAAAGATTTACCTATATATTAACTTATTTAACCTTTACAAAATACTATTATCCCCGTTTTATAGATAAGCAAACTGAAATTCAGAGAGGTTAAGTTAAACAACTGAGCTCAGTTCACACTGCTGGTAAGAGGCAGAGCAAAGATACAAACTTGGGCGGCAGGCTGGCTGGTGCCAGAATCTGCCTAGAAAAACATGACTTGATGATATGCTTTTTTTTTTTTTTTTTTTGAGATGGAGCCTCATTACTCTGTCACCCAGGCTGGAGTGCAGTGGCATGATCTCAGCTCACTGCAACCTCTGCCTCCCGAGTTCAAGCAATTCTCCTGCTTCAGCCTCCTTAGTAGCTAGGATTACAGGCGCCCACCACACCCAGCTAGTTTTTTTGTATTTATAATAGAGATGGGGTTTCACCCTGTTGGCCAGGCTGGTCTTGAACTCCTGACCTCAAGTGATCCACCCGCCTCGGCCTCCCAAAGTGCTGGGATTACAGGCGTGAGCCACCGCACCCGGCCCTGATGAAACACTTTTCTTGTGACCTGGAATGGATGAAAGTGGAGGGTATAAGAGCATTCCGTTATTTTTTAAGTAGCTTAATTAATATTTGGGAAGTTCCCCCAAAATTTAATGCACTTGGCAAATAAAATTGTTAGTGAAATTTAAGTTTACTGGGTCTCAACTGAAACTTCTGAATTTATCTACCCTTTAAGAAACTTAATACACTTTAGGAGGCCAAGGCAGGTGGATCGCTTGAATCCAGAAGTTTGAGACCAGCCTGGGCAACATGGTGAAACCCTATCTCTACAAAAAATATAAAAATCAGCCTGATTTGGTGGTCCCAGCTACTCAGGAGGCTGAGGTGGGAGGTTCACTGGCCCCTAAGAGGTTGAGACTGCCATGATCATGCCACTGCACTCCAGCCTGGGTTATAGGGCAAGACTCTGTCTCCAAAAAATAGTAAGTTACCGCTATCAATTACTAAATGGCTACTAGCATTTTACTGTGCACAACACCTTACACCCTTATTTCTAATCCTCTTCACAAGCCGATAAGGAGAGACTCCATTTTATGGGGGTGGAAACTGAGACTGGGCATCTTCCCCAAGAACTAAAACTGGAGGGCTAGAATCAAGTCCTGATGTGTGTGTCTGTTCCAGCTCTGCTCTCTGTGCCAACCACTCAGACAACAAAACTACACATCAGGATTATAAAGTAACCTCCACATGTGTCCTGAGCTTGCTAGACCTGGAACAGCCTCCCATGGCTGGGCCTTTTTACCACACACACACAACGCGCGCTTACATGCAGCAGGGCCTCAATACATCTCATAGGATGAGTGAACCTAGTTTTCCAGTGGTTGTTTAATCAGAAAATTCAGAGAACCCAAAACATCTATTCCTACACATTTTCATTGCTCAAAAAAGTCTGGCCAGCACAGTGGCTCACGCCTGTAATCCCAGGACTTTGGGAGACCAGGGCAGGAGGATAGCTTTAGGGCCAGGAGTTCAAGACCAGCCTGGGTGACACAGTGACACCAGTCTCTACCAAAAAAAAAAAATATATATATATATAATATATATATTATATATGCAGAAATATATATATATTTCTGCAAAAATCCAATGTTAAATAATTTTATGTAAAAATAACATTGATTCTATTCTTAAGAAAAATCTGGTTATGTGATACCCTGCCAGGGGTGAAGGATAGTGAAATGTTGATGCTGAACATATTCTTGGTCACTAACAGTTGCATTGCTTGTCTTCTTTAAAGACCCCAGGGCCCAATGAAAGTGGGAGAACTCAAAAACCCCTGGGTGATCAGGAAACCAAGCCAAAGCTTGGCCCTCCCATAATGGACTTCAATCTGCAAGGGAAGTTAGTCACTCAACATTTGTGCTATGAAAGTTGAAACCCCGGGCCACATGGCTGGCTCATCCCCCAAACGCACTCTGCTCCCTTTCCTACTCAGCAACTCCTGCCCGGGTTTACCATCCGGATTCGCAAAACCGGAAATTTTAAATTTAGAATTTAGGTATTTTCTTTACCAGGGCTATTTTTATACAGAGCAAGAGCAACGTTTACACCAAATAAATTAATGTATAATTCTGGTATTTACCAAAATAGTTGCAGAAAACAACCATGAAAATAGACCCTTTTTTTTCTTTTTTTCTTTTCTTTTCTTTTTTTTTTTTTTTTAAAGAAACTAGTGTTTTTTAAGTTAGCCAAAGATCGGGGTAACTCATCACATAATAGGACTCTCTACCCTGGGCC